CTTGAGATGACAACATTGTTGATGGATACTTCGGCCAAAGCTTCGTGACATTCTAGTACTAACCCTGAGTAAATTCGTGGTCTGTTCAGGGTGAGTAGTGCTTGTCTGTAATCTGTATAGATGAGCATGTTCCTTCAGGGCCTCAATTCTCGACTTTTTTTCCCATGGGAAAAAGATAATTTTCCTATGGGAATTTATATTTTGTATTCTCGACACATCCACTAGGAATATTTTCTCACGAAAAGTATGGGAGCAAACACACCTGGTATTTGGCATGGGAAATCAAATTTCCAATGGAAATCTGTCACCGGTGACATTTGCTAGTTACTTCAAATAATAATTATATATTATTATTACTCATGGTATATTATTACTAATATACCTTTCCCAAAATGGATGAAGCTATTTTACTTTCCCAATTAAACAATATAGAAGAGGCAGAAAGAAGAGCAATTAATGTCCCAAGAGATTTTTGGTCTAAGTGGAAAAATGAGGCAGGGGATCCCTTTGAATCCTTAAATGATAGACAATTTCTCAAATATAATCAACGCAAGTTTTCTAGAATAAGCAATCCCAGAATATATTTTGTTTCATTATTAGGAATAGGCTATTTCAGAATAAATTTTGTTTTATTACGCAAAATAAATAGCAACTGTTAATAACATAATGAGATGTTAAAAAACTTGAAGCTAAAATATATTTTTTTTTCTTTGGTGTACGGCTTCAACATCTAAGGTCATTAGCCTAATGTTCTATGTAGGTTATGGATTGTACTAGTAGTCTAGTACTCCATAGTGCAGGAGTATTAGTACTCTAATACTCCTACACCCCTACAGACAGGCCTTGTTACTGTTTCCTTGCGCCACTTTAGGAACAGCACTGTTAATTAGGCTGCGTTAAGTCAACGGTCAAGTTGACTGATATGGTCAGACCGCTCGCTAGGCGATGTAGTCCTAATTTGTAAAATTCATAACCGAAAATTACAAGACCAGGCAGTCCCTCCTGTCTCCTGTATTTTGTGAGTCCCTCGACACATCGACAGTTCTAAAGAATGCGGTAAACTCAAGACGAAGGCATTTAAAAAAATAATATGAACAGCAGAAAGAGAAATAAAGTTATTATGGCTATTTGTCTGTTAGCTTTTCAAACTGATGATGAAATTTCATTAATAAATATAATAATTCTTTTGAAAGTGTAAAAAGTTCCAGCATCATCATTTTGAATAGAAAAGTGTTGATTTTCCGCCTATTTTAGAGTAACTGGTGACTAATCCCATTATAATATTACATAATATTTGGTTTTTTCCGTTTCATGTTTTAAATTGGTTTTCAACAACATTAGTTTATCCATAACTATTAATTTCTTGTGTGTTTAAGGAGGTCCTTTCGCCACCAATGTTAAATAAAAAATATTAGATTATGACTAAAATTAATTTTTTTTCTAATAGTAGATGTCCTTATTTATCTAATAGTGAACTTTTAACTATACCTTACCGTGCAAATTTTTGAGATTTATTGATTAGATGTAGTAGAAAAAAACTAAAAATAAGGTTTTTGAAATATTTAGGTTTTGTTTTTTACAATAAAATATATAGGTTACCGTGGAATTTATTGAGAAATTATTATTAAAAAATCACAAAAAATTTTCAACTAGGTTACTTGAAAATTTTTTGTGATTTTTTAATATTAATTTCTCAATAAGTTCCACGGTTTACTATATATATTTTATTGTATAAAACAAAATCTATATATTTCAAAAACCTTATTTTTAGTTTTTTTCTACTCCATCTAATCAATAAATAATAGTATAATTCGAGAATTGTTGTTGAGGACTTACTTTCTCGTGAGGCACTGTACAAATACTCACATTTTAAAAAAAAAATTCTCAAAAATTTGCAAGGTAAGGTATAGTTAAAAGTTCAGTATTAGATAAATAAGGACTTCAACTATTAGAAAAAAATTAATTTTAGTCATAATCTAATAACTTTTTTTTTAACATTTGAGGCGAGAGGTGTGGCGAAAGGACCTCCTTAAATTAAATAAAAACATGAATTGACAATTGGCCATTCACTAGACAGTTTTGACCAAACAAGTCAAACTCTATTTCTCGACTGTTCTGACTGACTCTGACCGATCAGCTGATTAGTCATGACTGGTCGTGTTGGTCGGTTTTCTCTTTCGCTAGACAGTTTCGACCGGTCCGACCGCTCACTTAACGCACCCTTAGAAAAAAATCCCGGCCAACGGTGGGATTCGAATCTGGGTCCCTTGGATCCACAGGCAGAGACTCTACCACTGAGCCACCCACCCCCTAAAGCTAAAATATTGAACACTCTTAAAAATCCTTAAAATTCCTTTGTTTCTGCTATTTTTTCCAAGGCACAAGTTATTCGTTCTTTTGCCAAAACATTTATCTCTAATAACTTGAATTTTTTGTCATAATAATTTTCTTTATTAAAGTTTTTATTTTGTAACATGCGTTCAATATTTCGGCTAGTATTCAAGGTTTTAGTTGACCTTGTAGCAGCTACTCTTCGTTTTGGCTTTATTGTGCCCCTTGTACTAGGTTCAGCACATGATATATTTTCACGTTATTTTCTAACAAAAGGGGGTTGATAGTTTTCTCTGACAAGATGGCAAGTGGCAAAACAAGAGTCAAAAGTTGATAGAATCAATGATCCCAACATTATTACTTGAAAGTATTGAAATATAATATTGATTATGATTGGTCAGTTTCCAATATTTACGTACTTAATACCCAACATACGTTAGACATACGAATAATCGAAATTCCCATAGGAAGAAGGTTCCTAACCTAATCGAGAATACCATTTTATAATACCACTGGAATATAAGCATGGGAATATTTATCCATGGGAAAATTTTCCGGTGAAGTCGAGAATTGAGGCCCAGTGATATTTCTGGTGATTTCTTTTGCTGCTATGAGAATTCCCGTTAGCTCTGTTTGAACTACACTGGCACTATTGCTCAGAGCCCATTTTATGTTTAGGTTTAAGAATCTGGAGTATATTCCATATCCTGAGCCTCGTTTTGTTTTAGAACCGTCGGTGTAGATATGAATCGTACCTGCCAGTTCCGGCTCTTCTATTTGTTCTGTTATAACTTTATATGGCTTATGGAAGATATATATCGGTGAGATGGAGTCTACGTTCGCTTGAAGCAGTGAGTGCGTATCGATCACCTCCTACCAAAAGCGACGTCTCACATCACCAGATCCTACATCAGGTTCTATTCCAACCGTGCGGAGACGTGTCATTGTCGTCAGAGCGCTCCTTGATGTAAATATCTCCCATCAGTGTCTTTTTGACAAGGATTTCTCTTTCGGTAGATATTTTACCCTAAGGGTTATCCTTGTCTATTATAGCTACTTTCAGATGGCTCGTAGCTGCATCCAGACAGAACTTTGTGGTCCTCTCTGGGTGTTTTACCCTTCCGGGGCGTTACCTCGGAAGAGGTGTAAGATCGCGGCCTTTTCTTGTCTCCAGTTGCGTCGTGTTCCTGGCCTCTTGTGGAGGCAGAACTAGCATCGCTGTCTAGGGACTTGATTAGGCCGCTTTTGTTTTGTTTGGAGTGAGGGGGTTTGCTGAGGATGGCGGTTATCGTAGCACTGCCTGTCTGCAGCTTATCCCTCTTCCTCCTCTTTGCTTCAGACCCAGAGATTCTTTTGCCTCTCCGGGGCCTGTTAGTTGGAGGTAAACTACTACATCCATCCTCCTTTTTTGAAGGTGGGCGTCGATGTCCAGCCTCCTGTGCGGGAGTTAAACTTTGTTTGTCCAGGCTCCTTTGCAGGAGGCGAGCTTTGACGTCCATCCTCCTTTTTTGAGGTGATCGTCGCGGTCCAGCCTCCTGCGCCGGAGTTGGACTTTGGTGTCCAGTCTCCTTTGCTAGAGGTGAGCGTTTACGTCCAGCCTCTTTGGGTTCTTGTTTTTGTGAATCCATATGGTTCCCACGAGTAGCTAGGGAAGGAAAGGTCGATCGACGCAAAGCCCCTCATGCGCCGGCAAGGCTAGATACAAGAGGGTGTCGCCAGGTTCCTTCAGGGGAGTGTTTGCTGCCGCATATGCCCCTGCGACAATTCATCCGTCGGCACGTTACCTTACACCTTAGATTGGGAGAGTTGGTTCGCGGCGGTAGCCTTCGCAAAAGATTTTGAGGGTTTTTAGGCTCTCGCACTCTACTTATGTCTATCACTAACCAAGGGAAACTTGGCCGTTTTCATATCCACCACCCGGAGACACGCTTAGTTGGCACTCAACCGCTGAGTGATCTTCCCCTATATGAAACATACAATCAAAAATATAAGACTGCACTTCGTCCTTTCATAACTGACTTATGCAACAAACAAAAAGATAGAAAATATTAGATAAACAAAACGAAACTGCAGAAACCATACCTAAAAGAGATCTTACACAAACATTTTATGACAAGCATTCTTACCCCACTCCAGTTCATTGGGCAAGTCCCGAGAGATTTTCTTCATCTTGTCTTAAAGGTCTTCGGAATTTTTGTTATTCTTGCCAGTTTCTTAACGTAAAATATACTGATATTTAATTCAGCAGCCACTTCACTTCAAGAACAATTCATTCGGCAATTATTTTTAAGAGCTGTCATATTTGAATGTGACTAACCTATGATGAAGTCTAAATGACATCATTAAAATTTAAAGTTCACATTTCGATTTCGTCAACTTTCTATCGGTGAAAATAATAAAGGCCCTAGATTCGACCACTGCGGCACTTCTGATTTGGCAATGTATTTAACAAATTTTTAACTGTTTATATAAACATACAATTTTAGATGATGATGTGGAAACAATAACGCTTATAGAGATAAATAAAATATTAAAACGAAGTTGGCTTTTTAAATTTATATTTTTCAAAGAAGGTAATAAAATGGGACCAGACGAACAATACATAAATTTTATTTATACAATAATTAGTTAATTAGCTATCATGCTAGAAAAGGCAATAACTTTATTATTAATATTTAAAATTTTCGATATAATAATATAACATTTTAATTTTTGTACTCATCAATCGATCCTAAAACTGTTCAGATCTACAATACCAAAAAAGTATTCTTTATACTTATCAATAAAACGAACACAATGTAAATTATATGTAACGAGTCTTCACTAATACCCCAATTTCATGTGTTCTAGTAAAACAAGAAATTTAAGCCATATTCGAGCGGTCAACTGGTTTGAAAACGGTTTGAACTATTCCCATTCGACTAACCAAACAATGACGTCACGTTGAATTAGGTTTAAACCACCTGCATCTATTTTTGAAACGTTTCATTAAGAACGGTTCAAGGAAATACAAATGTCATTAATGTCAAAAATAGTAACGAACGTCATAAAGCATAGCATACATAATAAAATTTATGATAAAAAAGAATATTCATGGTTATAAGAAAAATTTGAAAATGCATAATTATGAAGGTTTATAAGTTTTGAAAACTTGACCTTATAATTCTAAATAACTGGTTGAAGTCGGATTCTAAATACCGATCTATTTTTCATAAAACTGTGGTAATATTATATGAGCTTCTCGTTGACAAAGGCAAAATATTATCTATTGCTAGAGATTTACACACTCACAAATCGTTATCTGTCAGTGACATCACTGTTTTAAAATCATCTATTTGAGCGCTTTCAAAATCTGTGACGTAGTATTAAAACTAGTTCTAAAAGTTGTTGAAAATATTTTTAAACCAAAGAGACCGCCAGAATATGGCTTGAATGATACTCGCCTTTCTTACAGACTTTTATGACAACTGAAGTATCAGTTCTGTCAAATAGGTCAGTAACATTATAACGTGATTTTTAACAAACTGATGGCATCAATTTAGTCGCGTGAGGTACGTGTATTGTTGAAGACTGAAGATATGTGAAAATTCATATACCAGGTAGCGTCTATGATTTTTATTTTATTTTTAATTGATATGAACTTACTATCAAGCGCTTAAAATTCCGATAGGAAATATTTTAAATAGATTTATTTTGATTTTACAAGCCACAAAGATTAAAGCATGAAACTCACTTTCCTTCTCTAACTCAACGACAGACCATGCTTGATTTTAGTTTTTCTTACATTGTCGCTTATAGACACAGTGGGACCAGTCAACCAAGTCCTGTATAGAATTGGAAGGTATCCAATTTGCCAGTACATCAAACTCTATGCTTGTAAACGACCACAACTAGGACTCGATTGTTTTCAAAAGAATAATGGGCGGTGGGCTGGCCGACAGAACACCAATCGGAAACTCTTTACATTCTCGATCGGGGCTCTCCCGGATAGCACATCGCTTACTTAGCATGTGAACTGTATTAATCACCCACGTCCTTTACACAAGATCAACGCACACACGAGAACAACCCTATTTTTATTAGCATTTTAAGGGGACAAATCCATAATTAAAACACAACAAATCCCTAAACACATTTCCATTCCCGATCCCAAAATAAACATAACTCCCCTAATAATACCGTTTAGGTAAGGAGAGAAATCAAAAATGATTTTAATAGGCGGATTTATCATTCATGGTCCCGCATTAAAAGTCCCCAAACTCGGTTATGGCGATTTTTTTTATTTATTTTTGATATGTAAATAAAGATTTTTAACATGTAAATAAAATTCTTCTAATCTAGTCTAGTCGTTTTGTCCCTACGCGCATAATCCAAATTAAGATTGTAGGCGCAACGTCAGTCACACAGCTCCAAACTTTAGTGGACTTAAGTACATATTGAAAAAACGTTCAACATATTGCATTAATCCAAACTTATAAGGCCAGCTCTATACAATCAATTCTACGAATTAAAAACCGCAACACTGACGTAGACATCGCGCTTGCAGCACTTCCGACAAGATATTAGACCGTTATACTCTTTAGCCAATCAAAATGCGACACAGAAGAATCACGCGAAAGCTTTAGAAAGAGAATTGGTCAGACGACATCACATAGAAAGAACACTTGCAGTTTTCTTGATCTAAAAGTAGAACTTTGCATGATTCTTATGAATATTCTTCTGCCAAAATAATCGAGCCCTGGCAGTTTCCACAATTATATTGCTGTTATTAAAAATAGATGCGGGAGATTTATAAAGATTATACCAAGCTCAGATTCTTAATGTCGATATTACTGGATAGAAGTTTGTTTAGCATCTATGTCAAGGAATTTGGTCGTGTCATAATGAAGTAATATTGTTCGGTGATTAAACAGCCATTCAACCATTTTAACAATATTTGTACACAATTTTTTGCCACTTAAATGCATTGCGACACTGCCATAGCCTTTTTATTGGCCTGATTTAGATCTGTATGACTAAAAGTCAATTAAGTAAAGAAATTACACTATTTGTTGCTGCAAGACTAAATAAACCTTGCAGGAATGACAGTTAGCTCTCAGAGAAAAAATCAATCAATTTGTGGTTGTCCAAAGATTGCAGATTTATACAATAAGCCACTATTCACTTCCATATTGTATTTAGACCAATTTTTTAACGTTCATATGCATTTGATCTCTTCCACACCTGATCCTAAAACTGTATGTCAAAAAGTAGGTACATTTTCACGTTTTAAGTCATTTCAATGCTGTAACGGTCTTCTTACTCACCTGATTTTGTACTGTATGTCTAAAAAATCGATTCAGAAACCAAAAGATACCGTTTTGAATTAGGAGAAGATTTACTAGGACAACCGATACCAAAGTTAGTAGAAATAACAGAGGTACTTCTTAGATACTATCACAGATAGTTTCTAAAATACTCCAAAGCAGTATTTAGGTTTGTCCAACGATTAGAAGTTTTTATAAGCCGATATCGACTTTTGCAACGTCTTTTTGAGGTTTATAAACATGTCATCGCTTCCACAGCCCTCACACTGACCTGATCTAAAATTCTACGTATAATAGATTCAAAAACCGAAGAATACCGTTTTAAAACAAGAGTAAACTAACTTGCTGGGACTACCAAGTCCGAAGAAAGTTCACAAAAATAATAAGTACCTCTCAGAAACAGCAAATCAAAACAATTGCAGTTTTTTTTTTTTTTAAATAGAAGCATTCGTGTTGGTCCAATTATTTCTGATGTTTATTGTAAGCTTATAAGCCGCCTTTCATTTCGGCACTATATTTAGACAACTTTTTGACGTTTTATATCGTTTAAGCTTCCTTACTCACCCGATTTCATCCTGGGTAACTAATTGAATAATGAAAGCACATTTTAAACCGACAAAAGACTCCCATTAACAAAACAAATTAAAAGATAGCCCAAATAACCCAAAGAGGACAAATCAATACGAAAAAATGGAAACACTCTGGAAACGCGTGAAATTGTGTGCGACAAAACATTAATGGCGCTTGCGTTAAGGCACTTTTTCACTTTCAAGCTATCTATCTATAGACGTTTTTGAAATTGTATAGACATTTCACCGTCGTCACAGCCATATTACTCACCTAATTTGATCCCGAGCGACCAAATTGAATTTAGTGAGGAAACGACGTCATTTTGAAACAGAAGAAAAGCGATATATGTTACAAAAACCTCAGTAGATTTACTATACCACGTCATGTTTGACGTATCACGCTGCCCCTTACATATCGATAAAACGATTTCAGACGTTTATATCGTACAGACCTCAAAAGCATTCGTGTTGCTACAACGATTTTAGACGTTTATAATAAGCCGTCATCCACATCGGCACTATCTTTAGACAAATTTTTGACATTTTATGTCGTTTCAGCCTACTTACTCACCCGATTTGGTCCTGCGTGACAAAAACTCAATTGAATAATGAAAGCACATAATGAAACGGCAACAAAACTTGCCAGCGTTACCAAGACGCTCAAATAAAGGAAAGAGAACAAATCAATACAATCAAATTCTTTGAAAACGGGTGAAATTATGTACGACAAAATATTACTGGCGATTGCGTTAAGACGCCTGTTCACTACGTTATTTATAGACGTTTTCGAGATTTCAGACATTTCACCTCCGCCACAGCCATCTAATTCACCTGATTTGATCCCGCGCGACCGACTTATTTTAGTGAGGAAAGGCCGCCACTTTGAAAAAAAAAAAGAAAAGCGATATATCCTACAGAAACGTCAGTAAGTAGATGTAATGTCAGTAATGGCGCGCGATGATAACTATCTCTTAACTAGATGAGGCTGACGGCGAAAACGACACGTTTGGCGTATATAGCTGCCTTTACGTGTTGGTTTAACGATTTCAGATGTTTATAAGCCGCCATCCAATCCTGTACTATCTTTAGATAACTTTTTGATGTTTTATATCGTTTCAGCGAAGCCATAGCCTTCTTACTCACCCGATTTGGTCCCGGGTGACTTCAACGCGCAACTAAATAAAAGCATTTTGAACAATAAAAGACTTGCTTCCACTAACAAAACAAAAAAAAAGATCAATATCAAAAGATAAATCAATATGAACAAAGGGAAATTCCTGAAACGTTCTGAAAACAGATGAAATTATGCACAACAAAATATTTATTAATGATTAAATTAAAGCAGCTTTTCATTTCCACACTATCTGTAGGCCATTTAACCGTCGCCACAGCCATCTTATTCACCTGATTTAATCCCGTGCGACCAAAACTCAATTAAATAAGGAAAGGACGCCATTTTGAAATAGAAGAAAAGCGATATATGCCACAGAAACGTCATTAGATGTACTATGCCAGTGTCAGCTATATCACAGCCTCCTTATTCACCCGATTGGTCCCGGGTGACTAAAACTCAACTGAATAATGAAAGTACTTTTGGAAACGAAACTGCTACCCATCACCAAAACCAAAGAAATTTCGCTCAAATAACAGAAAGGAAACAAATCAATTCAAAAAAGATAAATTCCAAACATTACTGGTGATTAAGTTAAGGCGCCTTTCCACTTCTATGTCATCTATTAAGTAATTTAGTAAGGAAATAACGGCATTTTAAAATAGAGAAACGGTCTTTTATGTATCATGTAAAGTTCGACTGTAAACGCTATTAATGTAAAACCCTGCACGTAGGTAGAATTTTTATTAATTTGTTAAATAAGTCTTGTACAAATCGTTCCTATAAATAAAAAAGTGGGTTTAAAAACGACCCTTGTGTAGTTTTTTTATACAGGACGTCTCAAAAATATTACGACTCGTGTTTATAGTGAAACGCCATCCTGTACGTTTTATTTGTGAACAAAATTAAATAAAAATACAAATAAAAGGAAACAAAAACCGGAAAAAATACATTTTAAAAATTTATCAGCGTTATTATAAAAAATCGTTTATAAAAACATTAATCAAGCCGGTGTCAGCAGCAGTAGCGACAAGCTGTACAGAAGAAATATCGTGCGGGAAAAAGAGCGGTGGAAATCGGACGGAAAACCGCGCCATATAAAATGCCCATTAATATATGAATGACGCGATAAGTCAATGTTAGCTGCTACATTTTTAAACCACATACTTCAAAAATATTTACTTATATAATGAAAAAATTTCTTAAAGATTAGTATATTTTGCCAAGTCAATTTTATTTTGCTATAACATTTTTTAATTCATTGCTATTTTTAGGAACATTTTATTTTGCATCAATATTTTGTATTAAAATCATTTTTAACTGTTTTTCTTAGAACATTTTTGTTCGAAAATTCAAAGAAACATTTAATTTTGCTGCAATATTTTTTACTCAAATAATTTTTTTATTAACGTTTGTCTGAACATTTTACATTGTTCGATAATTCAAAACTGTTGACGTCTTTAAAAATTATTTTTTAATTTACAGAACATTTCACTGCTTTTTTTAGAAACATTTTATTTAGCTACAATATTTTTTGAAATAATTTTTTTATTATAATTTTTTTTTGGAACATTTTACATTTTTCAAGACTTCAAAACTGTTGCCTTCTTTAAAAACATTTTTTTAAATTACAGAACATTTCAATGCTTTTTTAGAAACATTTTATTTAACTGCAATATTTTGTATTGAAATAATTTTTTATTAACTGTTTTTCTTGGAACATTTTACATTTTTCAAGAATTCAAAACATTTTTTAATATACAGAACATTTCAATACATTTTTAGAATCATTTTAATTAAAAGTTTTTCTTGGAGCATTTTATTTTGTTCGAGAATTCAGAAACTGTTTTCCTCTTTAAAGAATATGTTTTTCATATCTAACGTTTTTTGTCTAGAACATTTCATTTTGCTAGACTATATTTTTAAGAACTATGTTTTCTTCTTTAATTACACTTTGCTAAGAACATTTTATTTTTCGAAAAATGTTTTGTTAGTGATTCATTAAAATAAAAAATATTTATTTAAATCAGGAAACATTTGTTAATTGAGTATTTTTTGCCAAGACCATTTAATTTTATAATTTTTTCGTTACGAAAATTTTAATAAGTTAAAAATATTTAGAAATATTTTATTTTGCAGCAATATTTTGTATTGAAATAATTTTTGTGATCTGTTTCTGGGAACATTTTACTTTGTTTGATAATTCAGAAACTGATGCATTCTATAATTCTTTTTATTTTGTACGTTTTTTGTACACAATATTTAGTTTTGTTTTTGCTAAGAACATTTTTCGTTAGTAAATTAATTAAAATACTATAACTCAACTGATATTGCCAGGAAAATGTCATTTAGCCAGAAAATAATAGCCTTCAGGGAACATGTTTTAGATTAACTAGACTTTTACAGAGAGCAATTTACTTTGTTCTGGTACTCAAAGAACAATCTTTAAACAAAATTAGTCAGTTTGCTAGCACACATTTGGCGAATATCTTTTTCGTTTATTTATGTTTACTCAAAACATTTTATTATGTGACATTCTAGGAACATTTATCTTTCCAAAGGCATTTCATTTCGAGGGAAAGTACCATTTTTTACTGACGTTTTATGTCTTTGTTTGGAACGTGTTACGTCTCACTAGAGTATTATTCAAAGACTATTTTCCATGCGAAAACAACTAAAATGTTATTTTGCGATGTTCCACTATAAAATTTTTTCATTTCATAGGTGGACAGAACATTTTACTCCGCATGAACATTTATAAAGAACATTTTTTCGTTAACTTTATTATCGTCCGGAACATTTTATTTCTCGATGCCTATGATTTAAAGCGGAGAACATTTTATAAGACAATGAAGATTGTTATTGAAAGAGGAACATTTTATTTTCAAAGAATATATTTCAATGTAAAAACATCTAATATTTTATGTTGCAATTGTTCGTCTCGTAAGGCAGAATAGAACATTTCACTTCGCATATACAAAAAACATTTTGTGAGTTAACTCTGTTATCATCCAGAATATGCATTTCTCTTAGCCTACGTTTTAAAGCAGAGAACATTATATTAAACAAAGAATATTCTATTGAATGAGGAAAATTTTATCGAAAACATATTTTACGGCGCTTTTTCCCGCTTTCCACTTACAACCGTTCTTTTTCCCATAAGTTGTGATAAGACCTATTTTTTACAATTACTAGTAGTCCATATAAATTTTGATTTTGTCGTATTCTATGGGCCGAGTGTCTCGTTTCCTTCTCGAATACTTGAGACCGCAATCGTCGGCAACTTTTTCTATCACGTCCAAAGCGTAGTCGAGATGCTCTTTGGTGTGCCCGGCCGATAGGCAGATCCGTATCCGGCTCTCGGTCAGAGGAGTGGCCGGATATCCCACTCCCACCGTGGCGATTTTTGCTTTGATCAGCGATCGTACCGTCACCCTGAAACAGAGACAGATAGATGGTTGATAATTACAGACGGCATTGAAATATCCATGAAAAATTTTGGCGACACCTTCAGCAAGGTTCAAAACTAGTTAAGTATGAGTTCGAAATAGGTAGGGTCACTGCTTAAACTTGAAGAATGATTCAAAGTAGACTGAGGGCGACACTGATGTAGGGGTTTGAAGCGATGATCACAAATACCACCCTTCTTGAAATTTCCATTAGGGCGCAGTCAGGTTAGAATTGTGATTCGTGTAATAGTAATAACTGTCCAATTAACCAAAATTTCAAAAGGTAAGACATTTGCAGTCAGGAAAAGAAATCATAGCTAACGTAATTAAATTTATGAAAAACGAGGCCAAAATTGGGGTTCAAATACCATTGCATAATTGTAGAGATGTGAGCAACAGGAATTTTAAAATTTACTGGAAACAAAATTAAAAGAGAAAAAGCCTTGGTTAATTCAGGCAGTGTAACTTCTCTTTCTTCTTAAAATACCCGTATTATATTTCACAAGGGAAGAAGAATTAGATAGATTATAACTGATTTTTGAGTGTGATATATAAAAACCTTTGGTTCACCAAGCAGAAATAGTGCGGTACTTACGCGATTTTCGAATAGAGATACACTAAAATAGGAACCACAGGCGAATCTTCATTACCATGTACGATCAGTCCCATTTGCTCTAATCTCCGCCTGAAATATCGAGTGTTCCTGGCTAGCTGTTCTATCCTTCTTTGTCCCTCGTTCGTACCGTCCTTGCCCAGGATTATTTTGATTACCGAGATGATTTGGGCTGCCACTGGCGGCGACATCGCCCAAGCGTGACGGGAAGCGTGGCTGTGCTCTCGAATAAACGTTATAAATTCCTGAAAATATTATCGTTATAAAATCAGAGAAAAACCCCACCCGCCATCACAAATCGTCTTTCTTACCTTTGAACCAGCGAGATAACCACCAGCACCACCGAAACTTTTGGTAAAAGTCCCCATCAATACATCCACGTCTTTGGGATCACAATCGAAATAATCAACGATGCCTCTGCCGTGCTTACCCATCGCTCCAATACTATGCGCCTCGTCCAAATATAAATACGCTTTATACTTCTTCTTGAGGGCTATGATCTCTGGAAGGCGGCAAATCGTGCCTTCCATGCTATACACACCTTCGACGATGATTAGGATTTTTTTCCAAGGTTTGTGAGTGTTTTTTGGTTGATTGGGTTGACCGTAGTAGATGGCTTCTTGCAAGAGTTTTTCTAAGTGTTGAACGTCTAAAAAAAGGACGAAATCAAATAAATTAATGAAAATGGAGTTACTACTAACAATACCAAAATAGGAATGTTTTCTGACGAAACAGGCTCCTCTATCAACACATACTGATCCAGCTATTGAATTATTGCAACTCCAATATCATCTAGATGTATTAAAAGTGTGGTTTGAGCAATGGAAAATTAAAATGTTAGTTTTAACAACATTCAAATTCTCATTCAAACCAAAGTAAAATGTTTGGGGTTATACTTGGATCAAAAGCTAAATTGGAAAAGCATGTTCAAAAAAGAGGCAACAACTAAATATCCTTGCTTCTAATTATCTCTTGACATCAAATTACTACTTTATAAATTTCGATTTGGCCTTATGGATTATAGGAATGTACATCCCTCTAAACGTCACAAGATTACAGTGGCCCACCACAGACCTAATGCAGTAGATATATGACGATGATTAAGATAGATCTTTATTAAATTAGGAATCCTAATATACATATAAAAAAAGAATAAAAAGAGTTTATATATAAATCAAAAAGTTAACTAAATGACAATTAATAACATACATATACATTTCAAATTCCAAATATTCAAATAAAAAAGAGTGTGTTATCGCACGCACGATAGAAATGAAACAGTCGGAATGGTACTTCAAGTGGAGACTAGGATACCATGTATCGGGACATCGAGATATGTTGTTTTTATTAATGAACTCTCCATATTGCTCAAGCCAGGGCGAGCTGTAACTTTTTTTATTTATTTTTGTTTATTTTTGTTTATTATTGTTTATTATTGTTTATTATTGTTTATTATTGTTTATTATTGTTTATTATTGTTTATTATTGTTTATTATTGTTTATTATTATTTATTATTGTTTATTATTGTTTATTATTGTTTATTATTGTTTATTATTGTTTATTATTGTTTATTATTGTTTATTATTGTTTATTATTGTTTATTATTGTTTATTATTGTTTATTATTTAATTTTATTTATTTTGATATGCACGAACGACGATCGTACACAGTCAGAGTGGGACTTATAGGCTGTCGAGGTGTCGAACATCGAAATATGTCGTTTTCAAGGTGTCGGGATATATAGATATTTATTTATTTATTTATTCACGGGCTTTGCCCACTTTCAGTAAAAGGTTACAAATAAAAACAAAAAAAAAAACCTCAAATAGAATCAATCTAAATAATATGTCATAATAATGATAAACTAATAAACTAACAACAAAAATCATAAATATATTAACATGTACAAAATCGAAACAACTAATATTAAGACTAGGGAATTTAAGTTACAGTAAGTTATAACACCCTCACAAAATTAGAAAAGCTTGAATTAAAAAAATCAGTACAAGCATTAGCCCTTCGTGAATCTCTAGGCATGAATGAATTGAGGCAAGTATTAGTTCTCATATAGGGCTGATGAAAACTGTTTATTGATCTTGTGCTTCTAGTCGGGGCTGCCAACAACGTACTTTAAATCAATGTAGGGCAGTCAACCATATAATTAATGAGCTTAAAAAATAATTTCAGATCTGCCAGATCTCTTCTTATTCTCAAAGTTGGCAAGGAGAATGTCTCTTGCAGTTCCTCAAAATCATAGGAAGAGTCATCTATCCATGGCAAGTCCACTAGAAGATTGCACCTTAGAAGAGCAGCGCTCAGTCATTAGATTTTTAGTCGCAGAAGGTGTAAAACCAACTGAAATTTATTCTAGCTAACTAGTGGTTATTTGAGAGTACCTCTAAAAATGTTATACTATTGAAACGTAGCATTTTTGTTGATTACATTGTAGGGTTAGTTTGGAATGACCTAATACTCTGTAGGGCCTTTTCTGCAGCCTGCTCTTTCCTGTCATTTGACTTGGTTTTTCTTTGTCCCCCAATTTTGGTTGGAGCCTCAAAGCTCTTACCGGTAGCTGTTAGTTCCAGGCCACTAAGAAAGCAGTATTTGTCCCTGTGCCACTGCAACTACAGTGTGGAGTCAGTGCATACTTGCTCTATCGAATGTGAAGAAGCCATCAGCTGATGGCGAGATTCGCCTATCAGCGGAGTTTAGTGAGTGTTCCCTACACCTGGCACAGTGAGGTATTTATGTAATATATTTTAAACAGCCTTCGGCTAAAATCTACTCGAGCATAATCAGCCAAGTTTGTTTGTTAACTGTTTATACGCAGATCTCATGGACCAGGTCCTGTTAAACGTGTTAGGTTTAGTATATTCCATTGGGCTATTGGGTATATTTGTAAATATAGATGATCTAACACGATATGAGCTCATACGTCGTTAAAGGTTAAGTAATATTTTAGTGTTAAGTAATCCCTGTTCAACTATTTTAAGCTGGTCAAATTCTGAGAGGTTATATAAATAAAAATTTCCTAGATTTATTCGATCATGTTTTTATTTTAGCACAGCATTACATGTTTCGCAAACATTTTTTCCATCTTCAGGTGCAGTCAAAATTTAATAAAACTTGGAGACGATACAAACACTTTAAAATAACAGAAACCCCATCTTTCTGTTTCAGCGTGTGAAGATGTTGTGAGATTATGTAGTTTTATAACTATGTAGTAAAATTCAGTGTTCGGTAGCACTGTTACGTTATCTGTGAATAACATTGTACATATTTTGGGAAACAAGTGTTTGTTATAATATATTGAATAATATATTCATTGCATTGAAAATAATATAGAGGTGGGACATTTTTGAATATTGGAAATAAAGAAAAACCAACTAAACTGTTTAGTTTTATTTAAGCCTATTTTGCCTAGTGGTGTTTATTTGACCTTATCCTGTGTATGGCCAATTTGGTATTTTGGTGGCTGGTTTTCTGCAGGGGGGTATTTCGTGGCAAAATATACTGGCGCCCTCTTAAGAACTTTTAATTATCGGCCTACACTACCTCCGACTAGAGCTATCGACGATTAATACCCCAAATGTCACTAGGACAATTATGGAACCCCTCGTAACATGCTATTCGTTTGCTAATTAAATTATTTAGCCGAAGCTTTCGAATCGTATGTTACAGTAATTGGAATAAGATTTGTTTTTAGTGTTATTTTTATTCCACGACTTTGAAGTTTTTGAAGCATATTTAATTTATTTAAATTTAATAAGTACAAAATAGGTATGTAATAATGAAAATGTGCCTGAATTACAGTATTGTATACAATGATTTTGATAAATTCTGAGAAAGTCTAAAGAAATAGAGTTTTTTAGATATTTGTTTTATAAATATAGTTAAAGTAGCTATAGAAATTTAAATAATTATCTAGTTGAAATATCAAGTATTTGACATTATTATTATCATTATTAATGTTTAAATTTATGTTTTTAACATCGATAATACTATATTTAAATTTAGTTTATTTATATTTAAGTATTTATTTTCTCTATAGCTTGATCCAAATTAGCATCACTATTAAAGTATCGCCAGTAAAAAAATTAATAACTTCACAATTATTAAAAAGTTCAATATCATTAATATATAAAATAAAAAGTAGAGGACCCAATACGCTACTTTCAGGAATCCCCATATCTTTATTTATGTCGTAGGATGTTTGGTCAGCAAAACGGACTCTCTGCTTGCGAATATTTAAATAGTTACAAAAATAATCCAATACTCTATCCCCAATACCATACTGTTTTAATTTAGATAACATTATTTGCCTGTCAATTATCTCAAACATATTTATTTTTGTCTAATTTAGTTTGAATGTTACAAAGTGTAAGTTGTAGCGTTGATTCACAGGAAAATGTTTTTCTAAAACCTGACTGGTTACATATCAGGATCAAATTTTTAGAAACATGATTCATTAATTGATTATAAACAGTAATTTTTATAGGAGGCATGGTATTTATAGGTCTAAATTCATCAGCATTATTGGTAATAATTATTTTCTGAATAGGTATAAATGTACTGATTTTTAATAATTTGGGAATTATGCCAGTATCAAGTGATGTATGTACTAGATTTAATATGACATGACCAATAGTTTCGAATACTTCTACTGTTTAAAATTTCGTGTAATAAGAAATTATTATCCAAATTGTTAACTATTTTTCATAGATCATTCATAGAAAGCATTTAAAATTTCTCAAATTGTATGTATAAATTATTGTTTAAATTACACCAGGTTTTAGTATTAACAAAATATTTATTAAACTTTGTGTATATTATTATCGCCTATTTCAAAAAAGTATAGTTTGGAATATTTTTCTCTGTTATTATTAATGAGTTTTTTAATGAGTTCTTTGGCAGCTATCATATTGTAAAATAGGATGACCAGTTTTAACTTTACAATACATTCCATATTTTCTTCTTAATAAGCAAATTTAAAATTAATTTGCTACGCCACTGGAATCTTTTCATTCTAATTTATCAGTTTTTTTATTGGCAATTATTGACTTACCCACACAAAACAAAAACGTCAAAAACCCAAGTTTTACACTTCAAAATGCGAATTTACACAAATTGATTATGACAAAACACAAATTTGGAAACTTAATTTCACTTTTCACAAACGTAGGACATTTTTGCTATCATTTGGTATAAAAATAACTTTTTTCTACAAACGTCAGTAAAAGTATAATTTTTAGCACTAGTGCTAAAAGTGATTTGGTCGATATCCTTCGCCCTTTTGCTTCAAAAAAGCCACAAGCTTGTAATATCTGCTTATGTCGACTTTAACATAGAGTAATTCGACCAAAGCGTTGACGATTTCTATATTTTGGACTTTTCTTTAAAGTATGCTAAAAGCACTTTTTCACTGGCCACTGACATTTTTCTGATCACACCATTTCAAGAAATGATCGTATGAAAACTCGTACTGTTGCTTTGACTTTCTAGGCAATAATTCAAAAGCAGCTTTATTGGTAGCTTCTTCAATTTCCGGCGGTAGAAATTCATTTTCTTGATAACTTTCCATCGAGGAAGGAAGAAACGAGAAAGAATAATTCGTGATTTATTGACGTTAGTTGTCAACAAAGACAAGTCAACAAATTCGGTTTTTGTTTACCTTGACAACTTGTTTCATGAATAGATTAGATGAAATTGGATTTAAAATTGATAATCTCGAGGCTATTATTTTATCAATTAATTAATGTAAAATAGGTATGCGTTAATTTGGACTTTTAATGGTGTTTGTAGAAAAAATTGTGTATGATATACGTGCTAAAAGTGATTTTATTTTGTTTGAAGGGATGGAACACTCCGCCTTCGGCATCGTGTTCCAAACTTCCCTTCTCACACTTTTAGCACTTACATCATAAATAACTATTAATTCTATTTATGTATTCATAAAATATTGTTTCTTTGTTAGAGCTAGAAAACGGGTGTGCCATGCTATTATGGCATAATCTTTATCCAACAACCATAGCCAAGAAGATCGTCACTTATTATAATAAATATTTACTTATTGCTCCAATGAGAGTAGATTTTAAGTATGCAGTTATCAAATAAAAAAAATTTACAAGTACTTACTATTATGCTTAAACACCCTAATCCTCGGACTGTTAAGCTTGATCCCCAGAATAACGCTAGCGTGATTCTTTTCGTCGCTGATCACCAAGCACTCATTATCCACGAGAGTAGGAATGTTCAAAGAATTCGTGGCGAAGCCCATTCCAAAAGTAACGGCATCTTCGACGCAAAGAAATTCAGCCGTTAGTTTCTCCAATTCATCATGTAGCTCGCACGTGCCATACTGCTGTCTGGTACCGCCAGTGCTAATCCCGTGAGTGTAGATCGTCTTGATTGCACTCTCGGCGCAAGGCCCAGAAGCCTCTGCGAAGCCTAAGTAGTTATAAGAAGCTAGGTTTAGACATTTCGTGGTGGAACCAGTGAACTCGAACGTCCAACAATTATCCCTGGTAATTCTGTCCTTCAGCACCACCTGGTGCCCAGGAACGCTACAAATGGGGTAATTCCAGCAATCCCTGATCCTTCTGTACACGTATCGCGAATAGAAAGCGGCGAAGCTATCCAAGAGGGATTTGTAACCTTCTCGGTTCTTCTCTTTGACCAACTTGGGGGGAAAGAGGAAGTAGCTGAGGTAGCCGAGTATCATCAGGACGTAGAAGCTCATTTGAGTGATGGCTTTGGTGAACAGCGTCGGTGGTTCGAAGGATTCTTTGATTTGTCTGATTTTCGGTGCTTCATGCCTCGTGGTGGCGTCCGATGGATTTTTGTAGCCCTGAAAGACAAATTAATAATAATAATGCTAAAAATTGAAGATATGTTACATAAACCTTTTACGTAAAGTTTCATTTAAATAGAATGTCGGTACTTGATAGAGAAGACTTAGAGTAAGGGACGACTGTCCGGCCTATAGAGTCCCGAATGACCTTATTCTGTAAAGTTTTGTGCAGTGATTTTTGTGTGCCAGAGGTAAATATATTTAATTATCTTAACATGTTGTTTTTAAAAGAAAGTGTTGTTTAGTTTTGAGACAATTATTTAATTTCCATAAAAGTACCATTTTTTCATTTTCCTCCCAAGTTATCTTATACAGAGTGGCCCAAAAGTCTGGAAACGGCCAATTATCTCGTAAATTGCTAGTCCTAATTGTACAAAATTTGGGGTGCACCTATTTTGGGATACGGTGATTTCAGATTTGATATTTGCAATGTTGCCAGATTTGCCTTTTCTTTTAAATTATTAGTCACTTTGGTTTTTCAACTTCATCATCCTGTATATTCATTCATTATTGGAATCTCCTATTCAATACGAGTTCAACCATATGTAACACTTATGATTTTAAGTAGTCTAGAAGGTCTTAAATAAATAAAATAAGTTTGGCAACGCCTAATTGTCTCAATAATTTTTTTAATACAAACTATTTTCAACTACATTAAAACGTAATAATTGAAAGATTATAATATTTTTAACATAATGGTTACTTTATCAAGTGTTCAAAATGTGCTCCATTTGTGAGTTGACAGTACCCTAATCGATGATAGAATGCGTTTACCACATTTCTCCATGATTGTTTTATTTATTTAAGACCTTCCAGACTACATAAAATCATAAGTGTTACATATGGTTGAACTCGTGTTGAATAGGAGATTCCAATAATGACTGAATATACAGAGTGATGAATTTGAAAAACCAAAGTGACTAATAATATAAGAAGAACGGCAAATCTGACAACATTGCAAATATCAAATCTGAAATCTCCGTATCCCAAAATAGGTATCCCCCAAATTTTGTACAATTAGGATTAGCAATTTACGAGATAATTGGCCGTTTCCAGACTTTTGGGCCACTCCGTATAATTGATCATTCCTTTATCACAGGGAAATGGCCTGAAAAGCTAAAGACGTCTAAGTCGCTGCCTATTTTCAAAAATAAAGGGTCAAAGCAGGAGGTAAGTAATTATAGAAATGTATGTTTGCAGTTCCAGTTTGCAAAAGTTAATTACCAGTTGCCAACACGGCTTTAGACAGAAAAAATCAACATCAACAGCAATAGATGAACTTTGTAACTCCATAATTGACAATCTGAATGGGAAGCAGTGCCCAGTTGCCATATTTTATGACCCAACTAGGGCATTTGATACAGGGTTCTGTGGGTTATCAGGGCATCATCTATTTTAATCATATAACTAGGCTTTTGGGTAATAGTAGTTATAATGTTTTTAAAACCAAACTTTTTAAATATTTAGTTGAAAATGCGTTTTATTCTGTAGAAGAACTCCTGCAGATTTCTTAATCATTTTAATTTAATTTTAGATTTATATATAAGCATTTTTTATTTTTATTATAGTAATTTTAGATATATGTTGTAAATGGAAGTGCTATTATTGTATTGTTCTATTTCTTTTTTTTTTTGACAAGTCTCAAATGTACATTTTGTTGTGTATTCAAACATATGTATCTGTACATTTGATAGATGAATAAAGGATTTATTTATTTATTTATTTAATGGTCCAATTTACGGATACTTATATAGTATCAACCGTATTTACAAAAAAAATAATTATACCAAGGACTTTGAAAGTTATTTAAAAAAAAGATTTTCAGTGGTGTCCTTTACGGGACTATATCTCCGAAAAGAGAAAAATGTATAGGAATTTATCATGTTATTTTTATGTGTTCTATCTGAATCCAGCAGATAGCCCACATATTCTGGGACACCCTCTATAGTTATTACGTATCCATTGGACGTATCCATTGGCATCAATATTTATTACCAATACAGTGTGATAAATTTATTGTATTTTAAATCATTCAATCAAGATTTTCGGAATACAAATCGTTTCAGTAACTTAGCTAATACTTTCAAATAATTTGACAACCTACAAAATCATTAAATTTTAAACGAAATGGAAAGGCCAGGGTCAATGTTTTTACATGCAGTTCGCGCAAATTTTCACGTAAACCAATCCTTAAAAGCAATACATACCCCACCGTAATTTTTAATGTAACCGTATATTATATTTAAATGAAAGTTTGAAGTGACATAAAATACTATAAATACTGTTTTCTGTTGAAATTCTATTATTTATTTAAATATATTTTTTATATTAGAATTTTTATTAATTATATCAGAACTCTGCATATTTTACTATTTTACGCGCCTCTTTATACATGTATTTATTTATTTTATCCTTCTTTTATACTCACGCACAGGCCTTGCCTATAGCGAAGTATTCTTGTATTTACTGCTGAATTTATGTTATAATTATGTACACACTTGTAAATTTCTAATTGGTAAATAAATTTATTATTATTTAAAATTTTACATAAGTTTTTATTTTATGATGTTTTTTTAAATCAAGCTTTAAGAGTCGATATATAATGAAACTACCTTAATATTCTTAAAATTTCAATGATCTACTTTTTTTCGGTAATGCATACCATTTTTGTTTTAATATAATCCAGATTGGAGCTGCCCTCTAGCGGTATTTGAAGGTAAGAGAAATACTCAGCATGCTGACATTTTACATTGTATAAAATTACAAGAATGGTTAACAATACTAAATCTTAAACGGTCAAAACCATAAAGTACACAACTGTTAGGCCTTGTTCAGAGTAGGAGCGGCGCGTGTCGCGATGCGATAGCGTAGCGTCGAGCGACGCGATGCATCGCTGGTCGCTCTCACTATGAATATGAATCTTTCCGTTTGGTAACACTAGATTGTTTTACCGACGAAGCAACACTCGACACAACGCTATCGCATCGCGTCGCGCGACGCTCCTACTCTGAACAAGGCTTTAGAAGTATTATAACAATATAAAAAACATGATCAGAAACAAAAGTCTTCAACATTATACACTTTTCACATAAATAAGATTTTAATTTTCAGTTTCAAACTATTTTCAGTTGTCTTATGTTTAAGAAAGAAAACTTTATACTGATTAAGCCATGCCAAGCCAAATCCAAAACAAATATACAGGTTGATAGGATAAGATTAATTACTGACTCGAAAACAATTTAGGAAAGATAAGATAGCACTTAAAAGTGTATTATTAGTTCATTTTCTTGGAATCATCAACTAAGGTTCAATTTTTCTATGAAATAAACTTAACTTTATTCGTTCAGTCAGGTAGTTTTGTTACCAATATTCAAAACATTTCTCGAGATAAGAATTTAAAGTCTACTAAAACTATTTATTTTATGTTGATTTTTATTACATTTGGAATGTTTTATCGTTCATGAGAATACACAAAATTTATAATTGACGTATTTTCATAAAAAAAATGTAATGAATCATTATGAATGCCTTCATTATTTTGATAAACTAGGTAGATATACTCGTATTGCAACAATTTGTACAGGGAAAGTAAAAAAATGTCAAAATTGAAATAAAAGATGAACAATAATAGTCCTTGTTTCTATACAGGGTGACCAGACATTTCTTATTTGTGTTTCTGCCAATAGAACATATTCCAACACTATTTGTAAATCATGTATCTACCAAGAAATTCAAATATCCTCGAGCAATAAGCCGGTTATGACCTCACTCCTCTACATTTAATGATAGAGAACATGGCAAAAATGACAAGATATAGAATGATCAGGAACGAAGTAATCAAACAAAAGTCTATTAGCTTCGAAACCGAAGATACTTGGGATATGTCCCAGAACGAAATGAAAAGTACAATTTTGTGAAAAATTTCAACCACTGTACTGGGCTGCAAGAAAAAATGGAGCCAAGAATCCATCGTGCTTGCAACCGAAAGACATGCTATTCAGTGGTAAACGGATGTTTCAAAAACCATAGAAGGAACTGGAAGTTTATGGGCCTAGAACCTGGCACTATAAAGTTTGGGTATGTACCCAAGCATCTTTCAGGAGGAAATTCACACCATTGAGAAGTGTATCCAGTTCAACATCCAGATAAACTATGGTAGAAACTATCGATAGCCAAGCCAATCCGATAGCCAAGCCAATCCGATAGTCAAGCCAATCCGATAGCCAAGCCAATCCGATAGCCAAACCAATCCGACAGCCAAGCAGTCATCAATGCACCTAGCTCTTACGTAATTAGCTCAAAAATTGTCTAAAGATGTATATAAATACTGAATGAGTTAGGCGAGGTAAATAGAGTTACTCTCACTTGGATTCCAGGACATAACGGGGTGAAGGGTAACGGGATTGCCGATAGTCTTGCAAGGAAAGGGCCCTTTGTGGGACCTGAGCCTTTCTGCGGTATCAGCAGTGCAGTAACACAATATAAGGATAAATTAAAAAGAATTGGGCAGTAGAAGAACCAATAATTGGACAATCTCTTGGTGCTGAGACAGGCCAAGATACTTATGGGTGAATATAACCAGAAAATATTGGAAGAAAAGGCGTCTTCTGTGAAAAACGAAATCTCTTCTTTGGAAAATAAAGTATCTTCTGATTTATCTTCTCTGAAAACCAACATTTCTTCAGACTTGGACAGTAAAATGTCTTGCCTAAAAAAATGATATTTCTGCTGGTGTGGAAAATAAAATGACTTCCGTTGAAGAGAAAATAAAAGACATGGAAGAGGAGATAGAAGAAATAGAGAAAACAGAACAGACCCGAACGGCAAAATAAAGTGCCATGAGGTGGAATCAAAGCTGAAATTGAAAGGAATTGTAAATTCTGATCGTGTTAAAGCCTCAACTTTCGATAGGAAGAAGTTCGAAACAGCTGCGAGAGCAAAATGGTCTTGATGAAACGCTGTAGATATTCTTCAGACTATACCTATGGAAGAGACGGATGATTTTGAACAACCTAAAAAGAGACTAATCATGCGATATGGCCACGAATACTTAGATCATTTCTATCAAACACCGCTAAAGGATCGTAAACAGAAACATGACGAGACTCTTCAAGAATACGAAGAAGATATTGCCAGGTTGGTACGCTTTGCCTATCGATCAGAAAACAATGGAATGTTTGGCAGTCCAAACATTTGTTGATGGACTCCATGACCATGAAATGCAAAGAACACAGCGTTTAGCCCATCACAAAACATTGATCGATATCTTGTTTGCTGCTCTTGAATTTGAAGAGGCTACGCTGGCTTCTGGTGGATATAGTGAAGTAAGGACTTTAAAGAGGACGAATGGGAAAATAAATGTGCCAAATTGTTTAACATTTCGCGCAAACTTTCTAGGATAACTACGAATCCAAAAACCGTGCCGGTAGCTGTACATGAAGGACCAGTGGTACCTGAAAGAAGTGAAGTGATAAGGATAACGCGGCTGCAAGGAACTGTAGAAGGAACGACTGTCATGATAGAACCTTCTAAGCACAATGAAGATATTGGTCGACGAACTCTGATTGGAAAGGGGTTGGCCACATCTGCTAAAAAAGTTGCACTACGAAGAACAACGTTAGTTAACGACGAGTGATCCCCTATTAAAATTTGGGAAGAACGAGAGAATGATCCCGTTTTAAAGCAGATGCGAGAATGAAAAGGGGAAAATCGTCGACCTACTTGGCAAGAAGTATCAAAACTCTCCAGTGGTTGTCACATCTAGTTCAGAATTTTTTTATCCTGGAAGAAGGCTTAGTACAGCGAGTACTCGAAAATGATTATGGTTCTGAAATCAGAAAACACTTGGTTACTCCAAAGACTAGAATAGTCCAAGTACTTCGTCAGTTACACGACACTGAATCAGGAGGACATCTCGGTGTCAAAAAACCCCTTCAGAAAGTTCGTGAAAGGTTTTATTGGATGAACAGTTCCGTTGATCTGCCAGCATCAACGACGCACGAGGACTGGCATCTGCGTTCCGGAAGAAGTTTGATCGATTTTCAGAACTTCAAGGCCAGTTACCAGCCCCTGGAAAAGCTTTAAAACTTCAAGATGGACCTTTTATATCTGGTAACAAAGAACACTTTCTAAGATATATTCGCTTTTCATTCACTTTACAGAAACTAGCTATGCCAAAGATAGAGTGCAATCAGCTTGATTGGAGAATCAATAGAAACATGATGGAAGTAATATTCCAAGTCCAAATACTGGTCTGCATCCATTCGCCCAGTGTCCAGGTTACAGCGAGGACTGCCCCTTGTAACTTCCATGCAAACGGAAATTGTAAAAGAGGGCCCAGTTACAGAAACAGCCATTCAGTTCCGTTCTCTTGAGCAGGGGACAATGTCGTGCGACCATTTTCAATAAGTCCGGCTCTAATCTTTATCACCGTTCATCACCTCGCCTGAGTTCCGCTTTCGCTGACCACCTCGAAACTCTGGAAGGTTATTTTGCGCGAGTGCCGACTCTTGTAGGAAGAGTTTCGAAAAACATCTGGAGCATCGAGATTTTTTGAGACACGACTGGATTTGAATTTTCTAGGGCCTAACCTTTATGTATATAAGTTGATTATTTTGCCGTCACTCAGGTAGTTTAGAAATAAATATTGTCTAGTAAAAATAAATTGTAAAAGTGATTATAAATCAGTGTAGTTTTGATTACAAATGATTTAGATATAAAACAAGTTGGTGTATTTAGTGAATATAAATTAAACTGTTTAAAATGAATAAACATAACAATACATGTTTGTTTATATGGTTAACTTGCATTTCTCTTAGACTTTAATTTGATGTATCACAAGCTATAGTTGTTACCATAGTTGTTACCATTAAACTTTCTTAATAAGGATTAGGATGCGCTGAAGGGGTGAAACGTGTAAATAGTTGAATAACATTTTTAAACTTCGCTTTTATACAAAAATTAACGTGTTTTGTTTTTCTCAAATTTACGTAAAATCAAAAGTTGTTTCGACTGGCAGCGTTTTGAAATGAAAGCAATATATATCCAATTAAATATTAAAATCGAAACATCGACGTCGTAACTTGACGATACGATGCACCAGTAAACTGGCACGAAAAGTAAAGTAGTAAATCGGTTTCCAATAAATAAATTGTAAATTCCTGTACCCATTTTAACTCGTTTATGTTCGTAGCGCTCCCATAACCCATTAAATATTCTAAACAGTTTCAGCAAACATTTATTTTACGTTTTACCAATAAAATGGCTATTGCAAAATCTCCGCTTTTTATGGCGCAGCATTTCAGTGTTTTATCGGTAAATATTTGTCGCGTTTCTTTATTCCCTTATAAAGTTTGTTTATATTCTACAAGTTTTTTTTATTTTTTTCGTTTATAAATGATTTAGCTAAAAAAATAATTTCTGACTGATCATTAAATGACTTTTATTCAAAAAAATTGTTATGTACGATATTGCAAATATTATGTTTCCGAGTAGGACTTGCAATTTCCTACTAGCAAATTAAAAAAAAAATGGGGTTACTATTTAAAAAATTGTCAATGACGTCACTGCCCAAAAATGGGAAGAGAGGGAAACTTGAATTCTTTTTGAAAAATTGCGCTTTTAGTAAACAAAATTGACCTGTCCGAGCATTTTTTTCGAAAAACCAACTACTTCCATTATAATGAATTTATTCCTTTTATATGCTAAACTTTTTGAATGGAACTCTGGTTTATTTAAAAAATAATATTACTCCATCAATTACCATAGTAGAAATAAATATTACAAAATTTTTGCGTATAACTTTCACTACAAATTATTTAGATACAAATAAAATAGGAGTAACTGCTTACTACAGACCTCCTTCAACGAACATTCAAAACTTTTTAGATGATTTGGATATTTACTTGCATCAAATCGAAAAACAAGATCTAGAAATATTTCTAGGATATATCAATATAAATCTACTAAAAACAGAATGTAATGATACAACTAGATATCTAAACATATTAAATTTACACGAATACTATTCCTACATTAATAAACCAACAAGAGTCACTTTAACCTCTAAATCAACTCTAGATCATATTTTCATAAGACAACACACTAAGTTAGGAAGTCAAATTGAAATAGATGCTGTAGTATTTCAAAGTGATA